CGTGGCCATATGTGACCCTCTGCGCTACAGTGTGAAAATGTCCAGGCGAGTCTGCATCTGCTTGGCCACATTTCCCTATGTCTATGGCTTCTCAGATGGACTGTTCCAGGCTATCCTGACCTTCCGCCTGAGCTTCTGTAATTCCAATGTCATCAACCACTTCTACTGTGCTGACCCACCACTCATTAAGCTTTCTTGCTCTGATCCTTATGTCAAAAAGCACGCGATGCTGATCTCGGCTGGCTTGAACCTCTCCAGCTCCCTCACCGTCATCCTGGTGTCCTATGCCTTCATTATTGCCACCATCCTCCGGATCAAATCAGCAGAAGGAAGGCACAAGGCATTCTCCACCTGTGGTTCCCATATGATGGCTGTCACCCTGTTTTATGGGACCCTCTTCTGCATGTATGTAAGACCATCAACAGATAAGACTGTTGAGGAATCTAAAATAATAGCTGTGTTCTACACATTTGTCAGTCCGGTACTTAATCCATTGATCTACAGTCTGCGGAATAAAGATGTGAAGCAGGCCTTGAAGAATGTCCTGAGACGAAATATGATCATGACCACGGCAATATCTTCACTTTCTAATAAACCATAAGTCAATAACTTTGGCTCAAATGTACTTGCATTTTGATGATGAGTTTTAGTATTCTCTGTATGTCTTGAGTATCTTAGCTAAAAATCTCACGTTGGAGAAAAATGAGCTGCATTTATTTTTCTAGGCCATGTCCCATAAGTTGCTCTTCATCCAGCAGCATTGGCATTAGCACGAAGGCTGTCAGAAATGCAGAATCACATTCTGCATCTCAGACCTACGTATTGTTTTCAAAATGTATTTTAACCAAATCCTCTGGTGTTGTTATCACATTAAAATTTGAGACGCTCTTAGTGAAAATTCCTAATTGGTATGCTCTGGAGCATTGGTTTGCTCTTATTGTTTACAATAGGAAAGAGGATACACATTCTGTTCACACAGTTTCTTGAATTTATTCTATTCTTATTCCCAACTATCTTTTGGTTTGAGGGATCCTTATTAAACACATCCTTCTGTACTCCGTCCTTTAATATTAGGTAAAATCAGAAAGTATGGGTCATGGCAGTGGTTTCTTGCTTTTTATAAATGTGCTTATGAAGTGGTGAGGGTGGTAACCAGAAGAAAGGGGGACAAATGCTCATGATTTTTTCTAGAATTGCATTTGTGGGTCCAGTCCTCTGAGCTATACAAACTCACCTCCTCCTTCTTACCCTGCAGCATAGGAGTATTATTTTCTGTATCATCTGCATTTTAAGAATTTGGAACCACGTGACAGAAGGAGGGACCACAACTAAAGGGAGAGATGAAATTTAGCAGGGAATGAATCATACCTGAAAGAGTGTCTATGTTGAGTTGTATATTGCTTCTTTTCTGAATTATGCTCAGGTTAGGTATGTTACTTCTTTTCAACCTGAGCATAGTACTAAAACATGGATTGTTCATGTATACATGAACAAAAAATACAGTTTGGCTAAGGCTAAATACAAAAAAATAAAGTAAAATGCTTGAATTTCTTCAGAGCTCTAACAAACCAAAGTAAATTTGTCTTCAGGTTTTGTGCTAAAATCAATAATTTAAGGGAATCTAAAAGATTATTCCAATCTCTAAAATGTCTTCTTTCTGTCCCAAAATGCTGAATATATTCTAGATTTTTTTCTTGAAACACAAAGCCTGCCATTTAGAAAATGAAAGGCATTAATTATTATCTATATTTCAGTATATATTAATATATATTAAATTGTACATTAAATGTCAATATTATTCAATATCTCTCCCTTCTTTTTTTAATATAACAAACAACATCTAATTTAATACAACATCAAATTGGTCAATCATTAGAAAGTATTTACTATAAATATATAAGATCGTCTCTCAGCATTCAGGGAGAGGAGTGCAGCTAGAACTCAGGAAACAATCAAAATGCAGGACACAAAGGCCCAAAAACTTACATCTCATTTTCCAATCCGTATCTGTTTGTTGCTGAGATATATTAGCCTGATAATTTAAACTTAATATAATGATTAAGTTTAAATATGAACCTTATTTCCTACAACCTTGCTATTTTGTCTTAGTTTTAGCAGGTTTAAAAATTTGTTTCTTACATTCCCTAACATTTAATACATTTAATAGGTAAAGTAAGAAATGTCTGTGAGTTTTATTTCTATTTTTTATTGCACTGGCTACACTGATAATACAATGCTGAATGAAAGTATTGAGCAGATATCTATGCTTTGTTTCCCATCTAGTGTGAGCATATTTAATATATTACCAGGTTGTATAAAGATAGTTATAGACTTTTCATTGAAGTATTTTATCCAATTGAATGTTTCCTTCCATTATTTTTGCTTAGAAGCTTTGTTATTAGTTGATATTAAATAATGTGAAAAGTAGTTCCAGCATTTATTGATTAATTCCTATGGCCAGGCCTTTATTCTGTTAATGTGGTGTTTAACTGTGTTTACCTTGCATTCCTGAGTTTACATCAAATTAATTGTATTTTTTTTTCTATCAGTGGATTCGATTTGTTGAAGTATTTCTGAAATATGAAATAGTCTTATGCACATTTAGAAGAAATATTTGCTCTATAACTTAATTTTTTTCTGATGCCTCGATCAGGTTTTAATACTACATTTATAAAACAAGGTATGAAATGTTGCTCCTTCCTGTATTTTTCTAAATGTTTGAGTAAGATAATGACCATTTCCTCTTACATATGTATTAAAAATTATAAGTGAAATCACTGGGGTCTGGAGATTCCTTTGTGGAAAGTTTTGATTGTGATTTTAATTTCTTGAATAGATAAGGAGCTATTCAAGTGGTCTGCTTGTGCCTATTTTGGTGTCTGTAGCACAGAGTTAGCCTCATGGCAATGACCTTTTGATTTATTTGAATTAATAATTTGCCTCTTTTGATCAACCTCTCAGTCTTAAGAAATTGTCCAATATAGGGACCAGGCACGATGGTGCATGCTTGTAATCCCAGCAGTGGGTGTATCACGAGGTTGAGAGATTGAGACCTTCTTGACCAACATGGTGAAACCCCATTTCTACCAAAAATACAAAAAATTTGCTGGGCGTAGTGGCACATGCCTGTAGTCCCAGCTACTCCAGAGGCTGAGGCAGGGGAATGGCTTGAACTTGGGAGGTGGAGATTGCAGTGAGCCGAGATCAGTCCACTGCACTCTAGCCTGGCAACAGAGCAAGATTCCATCTTGATTAACAATGGCCAATATCTTGGGCATTAACACCGCTCTCGGTAACCATCAATGAATTTATCTGATCTCTGTATGGAACTCACAAGTCATGATGTCAGTTAATTAAATAATGTTAAGTTCTTGCTCTTCTAGTCAAAGTGAGACTCTTCAACACACAGCAGATGACTTCATGCAAGAGGATAAAGTACACCCCAGAGACTGCTTGTTGACTGTCAAGAGACCAACACTAAAGACTGAAACATGATCCTCAACCAAGGCTCTTATGTATCAAACTGACTAAAATGAAAAGAATCAAAGAATTAGGCAGAAGAGGAATCTACTTGTTTTAATGAAGTAGACTGAGTATTAATTTATTGTAACTAACATTTACAAGATAAATACAATACCATATGTATCTATCTACATACAGAAGGAAGCGTTAGCTATCACATATACTCCACCATTCAACCAACAGATAGTCCGAAGATGATATTCAAAAAAATTTTTATTTTAGTAAGGCAGTTTAGAGAGGTTTTCTGGAAATTATAACCTTTAGAGTAGAGTCAGCTATAGCAATTAATTTTTGAGACAGACTTATAATTATCATCTCATTTACATTTATACCAAACCAGAGGAGAAATATTTTTCAATGTTATCTATTTAGAGTGACTTACACCTGCTGAAAAATTACACTCTGTAGTACAAATTAAGAGACGTAGACCAATGTTCAGTTTCTGATTGTTTATAGTATTGTTAAAATCCCTGAATCACATGAGTCTCATATTTTCTGCTTACTGAAATATAGAGTTGCTCATGAGCTTGATTGTTGACTATATTCTCCACAGATGAAATATATCCTGAAGCAACACAACAGACTTTCTTGTGGGATGTCTGGTGCATTAGGGGTCCACACTAGGGAAGCCTTAGTACTATGAACCAAGGCTTCACATTAAATTATTAAATAAATAAATTCAATTGACAATTAGAGAATTAGGGGTATGTGGAAGATTAAGGTTAGTCTACAAACAGTCAAATTATCTTTCCCTTCACTTTTTTATTCATATTTTTACATAATTTAACTGCAAAATTAACCAAACTTAGTGGGTTTTGTCTACTGTTAGATTTAAACAAGGAGTCTAAATATGTGGATCTAAAACCCTAACCTTATAAAAAAGAATTAAATGTACAATTTGGACAGGCAGTTGCACTTGGAATGCTAGTGAACTTTGTTATAGAGTGAACATAAAGACCTCTAATATCAGGTAGGGAGTTAGATTTAAAGTGCCATACTATATGTTAGGCATTGTTAGGTTTCTGACAGAAGCTGCCAACTGCTAAATACTAACCATAGCATTATTTTATCTCACAAAACCGGAAAATGACACAGGAAACAAGGAAACAGACAGAGAACTCTTGATCCATGATCCTATTACTAGAAAAGTTTACCTAGGATATCCTTATCTAGGATATTGACTGCTTCTGGGAAGAAATATCCCTGATTGGCTTTACATTGATATCTCTTAAAGGTGAACATTCTCAAAAATTTGGAAGGCTTCTTCTGACTTGAGAAATGTGGACCCAAGGCTCAAGCCTCTGAAGTTTCTCTTGCAGTGTGGGTAGAGAGATGTTGGTATGGTCCCTTGCAATGAAGCTAGTTAGTTTAGTTTAAAATCAAGAAGGTTTATTTTTATTTTTATTTTTATTTATTTTATTTTATTTTATTTTTTTATTTTTTTCCCATTTATTTATTTTATTGCATTTTAGGTTTTGGGGTACATGTTAAGAACATGCAAAATTGTTGCATAGGTACACACGTGGCAGTGTGATCTGCTGCCTTCCTCCCCATCACCTACATCTGGCATTTCTCCCCTTGCTATCTCTCCCCAGCTCCCCAA